GGCCACCACAGCCTCGACTTGCTGGGCTCAGGCTCTCCTTCCGCCTCAGCCTTCCAAGTAGCTGGAACTACAGGCACACGCCACCATGCCCAGCTTATTTTTTGACTTGTTGTAGAGACGAGGTCTCACCACATTGCCCAGGCTGGTCTCGAACCCCTGAGCTCAGGCAGTCCTCTCGCCTCCGCCTCCCAGAGGGCTGGGATGACAGGCCTGAGCCACAGTGTCTGGCCGATGATTCTAATTGTAACTTCCACTAAGAGCACAAGCTCCTCAGAGGCATGGACCAGCGCCCCCAGCGTTTCCACCTCCACTCTCCCCTGTCGAGACAGAACCCCACACCCCACGGTGGCCTCAGTTCCCCACCGGGCTCCTCCCCACATCTCCCCTCCTTCCAGCCCTGCCTGGTGGCACGTTTGGATCTCATGTGCTGAGGGGAACCCGTTTTCCCTGCCCACTTCCCCTGCTGGGCCCCGGGCTCCTGGCCCTCCCCATCCAGGCAGAGCAGACTCTGGCTTTGCACTCAGATCCGCTTCCTTGTCTCTGCCTGGCCTTCTTAGCCTGGCTAGTTAGACCCCCCTCCCTCAGCGGAGGAGGGCTTCTCGCTGCCCCTTCCTTTCCCTGGCCCGGCTGTCGACTCCTCGAATTCCCGCTCACCTCTCCTGGTGTACCTGGATGCCGTGTGTCCCAGGGAGCTGTCTGTCCCCAGCCCTCCCTCTCCATCCTCTGGGTCACCTGCCCGGGGTCCCTCCTGTCCCACCTCTCATTCTGGGAGAGCTTTGGGGGGCAGAAAGAGAATCTGAGTGAGCCAGGTGAGCCAATCCGTACCCGCCTGTTTCAGCTGAGATCTGGGGCAGGCTGCTGCGCTCCTGGGGCCGAACGGAAGGCTGTGTCTGCAGAATGGGCCTGGTCCAGTGCTCCTGCTGCCCGGCAGTTGTGAGCGCCCAGGGAGGTGGTGGGTACCAGGGGCTGCCCTTCCTGGGGCATCCCACTCTCGTGACACCCTTACGTTCTGGTGACGAGCCCCACCAAGGCCGCGGGTGCCAGAAGACCAGAGCCCGGAGCTGCGTACTCGAGTCCAGCGTGTAGCAAGGGAGCAGATGCCTGACGAACTGGCTGTGACCTTTCCTGGGCTCCTTTCGTGTGCCAACCCCAAGGCTATCTTCATAGGCCAGCTGCTGTGACCCCACAGAATGTGTCCTCTTCGCTAGGCCTTTCTTTTCTCCTCCGGTTGATTCCTTGGCTGCTGGCTTAGACTTGGTGGGACCAGCGGAGGATGCCAGGGCCACTCCAGACTGGGGCTGTCCCGTGGTCCCTTCCTGCAGCCAGCAACATACCTGCCCCTCCCCCCTCCTTAAGTCTCTCTCTGGTGACACAAGAGGAATGTGGCCCAGCAGGGGACGTGCACACTGGTTGTTTCGGAGGAGATCCAGAGGGCGAAGTGGGGAGCCAGAGGCCACCGAAACAAAAGGGCTGGAGACACCCCGAGGCGGCAGGGCCTTCCTTGGAAACAGCTGTGCTGCTCGTTTCCCTCCTGCTGTTCTCGCCAGCCCGGGGGAAGGAAGCCTTGGGTGGGGGAAGGGCCACGGCAGGGCCCAGCTCGGAGGCGGGATGGAGGCCTGACTGGTCTCTTGAACTCTTCTGTCCCATCTGTCCAGTTCACTGTGGGCCAGGGTCCCAGTGGGAAGGCCATTCCCGGCCTCCAGCCATCTGCATCTCTGGTCTAAGCTGAGAGACCCCAGAGCGGGGGTTGGGATTCCTCGATGTGTTGGGACCCTGAAGTTGTATTATTTTGGTGCAAGATTGGACGTGGAGGTGGGGAGGAAAAAGATACTTCCTTGAATACCCATAGTCTCCCCTCCTAGAGCAAAGTCCTATTCCTTCCTCTCTGGAAGTGTGCCTTTAGAACTTGCAGAATCCCCTGGACTGCCACTGGAATGCTATGCCCTTGCAGACCCGCCTTTGTGGCCAGAGGAACCTAGCCTCCTTCCCCCCCGGGTGAGTCAGTGGCTCCCTTTTGCAGCCCCTGCTTTCTGCCAAGTGCACAACTGGACCAGGGCGGCGGGCCGGCATCAAACAGATTGCTGGCCTGTGCACTCAGCTGTCCTGCGGTCACCTGCTCACCTGGGCTTCTGATGAGGGACAGTGACCAAGCCACTGTTGTGTTTTTCCCACAGGTGCTTCAAGAGGAGTGATCCTGTTAATCCATATCACGTAGGTTCTGGCTATGTCTTTGCACCAGCCGCCAGTGCCAATGACAGTGAGATATCCAGTGACGCGCTGACTGATGACTCCATGTCCATGACGGATAGCAGTGTGTGAGTATCCTTGCCTCCCTTCCATGTGTGTGTGACTGGGAGCGCGGATCACTTGGGCACCTGGGCAGAATCGTCTGTCCCACTGTGTGTGTATGGACATTTGTTGGGTGGGAAGGGCGTAGGTGCGGTCTGGTGCTCGTTGGAAGGCGTCCTGGTTTCTGGGTAGGGTCAAGCTCAGATAGACCCATGAAAGGAAAGTCAGGATGATACCTTAACAGAAGAAAACTAAAGTATAGTAGATGATTAAGGTGGATATTCATAGGTTTCTTGAGTTCTCCCTGTCTGGAAACCCAAGAATCCTGTCTGCAGAACCAGCAGGTAGGAGACAGAGGGACGTTAGAAGGGCCTGTTTTTGGGGTGTTCATTGTCTTGAGAAGGAAAAGGGCATCGAAGCAGGGATCAGACAGCCAGAAATCTCTAAGGGCACTGGTGTGTGACGTCCACCCGTTGCTCTGTTCACATAGACATCGTTCCGTTCACTACACGTGGGTGGAATGCCTGCTCTGGGCCGGCTGCTGGGCACTCTAGGTATGGGCTCTCTTCAAAGTGGTTTCTGAGTTTGGATCGTCTGCAGAAGGATGTCTTTGTTTTTCAAAGTGGTCCAAGTCAGCAGGGTGGTCTGATGAGGCCAGCAGGCCATGGGCAGGATCATACTCTGAGTTTCAGGTCCTTTGAAGTCAAGTCGTGGTGGCAATCTCTGAGGACGAAGAGCGAGTCTCCGTGAGTTGCTGGTGGGATGTGGAGGGGTCACCGGATCGCCCCAGGTCTTGCCAGCCTTTGACCTCCTGGGTCAGGAAACCCAGGGTGAAACCTGGGCATGGCTGAAATTCCCCAAAGGCTTCTCAGCCAGTACTCAGTTGAGATTCACTGTTCCAGAAATGGCCTCTGAAGGCTTTTCAGCAAATGTTTTGGAGTCAGAATTTAGCCTGCAAAGGGAATAGTTTTGAAAGACAAACCCATTGAGCTGTGTAAGCTCTGGCACACTTCTCTAGAGTTTGTTCCTGTAACTCCCTAAAACTGGACCGTCTATTCTTTCAGTTGGCTTGAAACTATTTGGTTTCTACTGGCCAATGTCTTGTTGCTTGACATGTGGCATGGGACCAATTGGAAGGAAAGCCAAAGAGGTGAGTTTGGGACTCGGCTATTGATTTTCCTGGTGGCTGTTACTGTGTTACCTCAAATTCCCTTGTTAGTAGAGGGGGAGAGATCCCTAAGGGGAAGGGTTGCATTTTAATAAAAGAATAGCATTTTGGCATTCGCGAAAACAGAAAACTGCACATCTTTCATCTGATGTGGAGAACACGAGGCTTTATAGAAGTGGGTTTTCCACCTTGACTGGGGTGTTCATACTTGAGACAAATTAGTCTTTGATGGACTTATTTCTTAGAATATGTTTTGTTGTCTTTATTGAACAGCATTAGACAAAACATTCTTCATTTTTTGAATATCTACTTTCACACCATGTTGCAGCATTCTCTCATGGACCGTGAGGCTGTATAGGGTTGTCTGTCCCTGTACATGCTGGTGCCCTGCCCTGCCTCCCACATCCCCTCCCCGACCCCCCAGCCTGCTTTTAGAATACCTGTTCCCTTTTTGTATTTTTTGAGTCATAATGTCACTCTGTTGCCCAGGCTGGAGTGCAGTGACGCACTCACAGCCGCCGCAGCCTCGGCCTGCTGGCCTCCAGCGATCCTTCCACCTCAGCCTTCCAAGTAGCTGCATCCACAGGTGCGTGCCACCACGCCCAGCTAATCTTTTGATTTTTTTGTAGAGACAAGGTCTCACCAAGTTACCCAGGCTAGTCTCGAACCTGTGGGCTCAGGCAATCCTCTCACCTTTGCCTCCCAAGACGCTGGAGTGACAGGTGTTAGTCACTGCACCTGGCTCAGCTGTTCTCGGTTCTCTTTGTCTTCCTGCTGTCGTGTTTTGCTGTCCATCTGCTTGCTTCTAGCAAGCATTACTCTTTCAACATTTATTAATTTGTGGATTGTGTGGGAGTCTTCGTGTTACATGTAAAATAAGAATAAGCTGGAATTGAATGAAGGCTTTGAGTGAATCTCCTAAGTCAAATGTAGTTTTTGTAAGATTGTAAGGCTTCTGTTTAGTTTTTTAGGGACTATTTTTGGCTGGCTTCCTGCTCCTTGGCTGTATTTCAGTCCCCATCATTGAGGTGTTGTTCTGGGTTCATGATGAGATAACTTGGGTGTAGTACCATACTTGTTTTTGTTTGGCCCTCACAAGACCAGAAAGGTTGGCAGATTCTTGTGATTTTACAGATGAGGATGTACCCGGGTGCCGTGACTCATGCCTGTAATCCCATCACTTTGGGAGGTGGATGCAAGAGGATTGCCTGAGTCCAGGAGTTCGAGACCAGCTTAGGCAACTTGCCTCTACAATAAATAAAAAAATTTAGCCAGGCGTGATCGCATACACCTGTGGTTCCAGCTACTTGGAGGACCGAGGCAGAAGGATCCCCTGAGCCCAGCAGGCCAAGGCTGCGGTGGCCGTGAGCGTGCCACTGCACTCCAGCCTAAGTGTCAGAGACTCTTAACTAAAAATAAATGCATAAAAGTCCAGATGAGGAAGTGAGGCCTAGTGTTTCCACAGCCCTGCATGTTGGGCCTGGAGACAGATCTGAGATCCGTCCAGACACAGGCCCCTGCCCTTTGCCTGCTAGGCTCCTCCCCCAGGCATGCACATTCTCAGCCTGAGATGTGTTAACAGGACCCGTTGGTCACGGACCTTTGAGCCACTTTGGGTTTCCTTTATTTTCACTTGGAGTGATCAGATTGCTGGCTTTCACTGGTTGGGGGAGAGGCAGAAGGCGCAAGTTCTCCATTCTCCCCTGCAGCCCTCCCACTTGCTCCTTTTAGCCCTTTCCCAGAAGAAACACTGTCTCCATGCTATTTGGAAGTAACCCTAGAGCGCTCACCCTTCCTCCTCTAGCTGGAGTTGAAGCTCGGGAAAGACCCTTTCAGGGATCAGAACGGCTCCTTTGGCCGTCGCCTAGTCTCGGTGGTAAGGGCTGGCATGTAGGCCAGTGAAGTCCACTTGGATGCAGGGACAGAAAAGGGCAGATCCTTCACTCAGCTGCTCCATCTCTGGGGACGGTAGATGCCCTTGGGCCGCTGGGGGCTGCAGAACCGCCAGGTGTTAGGAGCCCGTCCTTGATGCCTTGGATGGGAGAGGAAATCCGGAAGCCAGGCGGAAGCACCTGCGAGGCGGGGACCCGTGGGTTTGCGGGCTTGGCTCTGCTCTTCCTGTGGGACTGGGTGGCCCTGAGCCCCCTCCCGACTGAGTGGGTGGGCTGTCGGCTTGGCTGCCGCGGTTGTGCCCACCTGGGTGTTTACACTCACTGGGAGTGCGTTTGGCCTCTGGGCAGGATCGCCCTCACGTGAGAGCTGTCTCATGCTGCCTGTGGCAGGGCACAAAAGGGTCTCCAGAGCTGAGAGCCTGTTGGACGGGGCTTGTTTGCACTTCGAGGCTCCTGTGGGTCTCAAGCTGTCTGGGGGCACCAGGCCCGGGGCCCCTGGGGCCCTCCCCACGCTCCTGCCCAAAGGACTTGGCTGTGCGAAGTGTTCCCTGGCCGGCTGGCCCGGGTCTGTGTGATCCTGCCCAGAGTCGAGCGGTCACCCAGAATTCCCAGGGCCAGGATTAGACCCCCTCTTCAGAGCTCTGCCAGCTGCGGGCCTCGCGCAGATGAGAGCGCAGGGCGAGAAATAAAGTGTGTGGGGGATGAAAAGCTGGACTGAATCGCTTTCAGCCCATTGTTCATCCAGGGAAGCTTAGAGGGGATAAGAGGGTAGCAGGCCCCTTTGAAATTTCCTTGAACAAGTGAATAGGAGCGCCCCATAACGCATGAAAAGAGCCCTGGCTGTTTCCCTCGTCACAATGGCGAGTGCAGGCTGTGAGGGGCTGGGGGGGTGCTGGCTGCCCTGCTGGGAGCTGGGGAGGGGGCAG